TTTTAATAAAACGAACAACTTAACGTAATACTTAATAAATTCACTTTACAGAAGTTTGATTTTGTTTTATATTTCAGGTATGTTTTGTTATTAAATTAAAAAAAACTGTGTTTCAGAATCTCAACCATACAGTTAATAATTATTATTTTTATTATATAAAGGGTTCGTTTAGCCTTGCATTAGCCCGTCCACATAGACCACATATTCTGTGCGTGGAACGCATCCAGCAAAACAAGGAGAGAGATGGTGCAGTACCCTTGTGAAATGTACTGATATAGTGGAAGGTAGCAGTATCCGAACCCTCGACATCGTTGCCTTTGGACCCACGAAGTCAATAGTGCTACCGATTCTCCTATAATGTACAAAGTGTTTTTAAAAAACATCTTGAACTGATATTTATTTATTTTTTAGTTCCAAGATTGTAAACTATATTTTGTAAATGGATTTGAAAATATATCATCAGTAATATCAGAAGGTAAAAATAGATTGTCACGCATTTCTGTAACAGCATTTTTTTACACGTTTGTTCAGAAAGCACACAAAATCGAATTATGTAACTTTGTTAACGATTTCTTAAACATCACATGCTTTCAATACGCTCTAGTGCAAACCTTTTTGCCTTGAAATTTAATAAAAATTACTTTTCCTATTAAAGTTCCCTTGGATTTACAAGTATTCAACATTTTGTGAGCTTTGTAACCCAACCTAAAAACAAAAATTCAAAGTCTCTGAGTGGACTTGGATATAACCAATGACACAGAGCGAAGTAAATAGCCAAGTTACATATTTTATATATCTATTCGCCATTTCGTTATTACATTGGAACTATAAATAAATAAAGTTGTATTTAAAGCAGTTTTTTTATTCGCACATTTATATCTATGACGCAGTCGGTAGTTAAAATTGGATCAAAAGCCACTCATAAAATCTCCGACACAGTATATGGGTGGCAAACTAAATCTGTGACACGCATGACCGTCACTTTAAACATTTCATGCATAAAACATTGAATTTTTATGGAACTAGAGTGGCCAGAAAAAGAAGGATTTAGATGTAAATGTCCAGGTATGGTTTGTTCTACTTTTATATTCTAAATATTAACCAAAACAGTTCCCTCATCAATAATATACTGTAAAGTCAAAAATCAATTTATTTAATTGTGAATAACTAATGTAGGGTTATTTAAAAACAACAAAAAGAATAGTGATGAATATGTTTTGTGATATGTTTTTTCTTTCGTAAGTATGTAGGGAGTATATTCGTAAGTAGCCTATATACCTAAAAATAAAATATGTTTATGAGATTTTCATCAACCCAGTCGCCATTTTAATTATATTGACAGTAACGCTTTATCAAGGACATCAGCACAGGTTTGATCTAAGTCAGTGTAGGCATGATGAGTCAGTCACACAGTTAAAGCCGCTCTTACACCAGTCTCTCCGCTGCTAAATGTGTTAACCTCTTGTAAACGGATTACACTATCTTCATGGTTCGCTTGCTTCACTAACTTCTGGTGCAGCCACACATTTTCACTGAAAATCACGTTTCGTCTATTTCTTAAAATAATTTAAGCAGCTAATTTCATAATACACTATATTTTCAAACACCAACGATTGATTTTACATCATATTAAATATATAAGTGTAATGTGTATGTATTTTAAAACACAGTTAAAACGTTTTGTGGCTACAATCTATTAAACTAGAGTCTACATATTTCATTATGTAAAAAGAAAACTTATGTAGTCTGTTTGTTTATGGATAATTTGGGATTGAAGTTTGCAAATTTATTATTTTCATCTTATACTAGGCCAAGTAATGTACCACCATATTTCTAATATTATGGTCTGCAGTTGTAGTTTTTTGTGTGCAGTTAAGTGTGCGACTCCCGACTGCGTTGTTTGTCTTAATATAACTAAAAGAGTATCTGATGTAATGCCATTGAAGGGAAATTCACTAATCACTATTAATGTGTTATAATTATACAGCAATACCAAAAGTAATACTGTTAAGTGAAGCCACTTAACTGTATTACTTTTGGTATTGCTGTATTATCACGTTTTGCTTACAAAAACCTTTAAAGAATGTTACTATCACAAACACTTTTATGTAAATCATATTATCTTATGTTGCAATGAATGATTTACGTATCCTTATATATATTTCAAATAATCATGGGAAGTTAAGGTGATTTTATAAATAAATAGTATATAGCTATGAAAAACAATCAGAGACAAAAACGGATGAAACAAATCATGGAGGTACATAAATCCCAGGTGAGTAAAGACGTAAGACTGGGGAACGGCCAACACATTCGATTTATCGAAGGTCCAAATCGTAAAATGGTTTGGGCCGTAACATCATGACTTTGCATTCAAGAAGATATAAATTGTAGCATCATCACCTATTATACAGGGTGACAAAAAAGTCTGGAAACGGTTTAATATCTTTTTAAATAAATCCGTTAGAAAATTCAAACCTTTCACATCAACTTACATGTATGAAAACTACTTTTTCCAAGCATTATCATTTTTTTACCTCTACCAGGGGACGACCCATGAGGAGTAGGTACATAATCTTTAATGTAAGCATAGGTTGATATGCACATCATTTTAAAGGTCTGGTCAAGTGGAGTTCATTGCCGGAAATCGCGTCAAAAAAGGTTCATCCGTTACAAAATGGCGGCTGTCCAAAGTTCTTGTGGAATATACCCGCACAGGCCTTAGTATTGGTAAATACTCGTATTAAACATTAGCTTGAGAGCTGCAACTGTATTTTAAAGTCAACTAGCTCATAGACTAATATTATAAAATCTTCAAAACAAATTTAACCGGATTTCAGATTTCCCGGCTAATGTTGAATATGAGTATTTACCAATACTAAGGCCTCAGCAGGTATATTCCGCAAGAACTTTGGACTGCCGCCATTTTTTAACGGATGAACCTTTTTTGACGCGGTTTCCGGCAATGAACTCCACTTGACCAGACCTTTAAAATGATGTGCATATCAACTTATGCTTACATTAAAGATTATGTACCTACTCCTCATGGGTCGTCCCCTGGTAGAGGTCAAAAAATGGCAATGCTTGCAAAAAGTAATTATCATACATATAAGTTGATTTGATTTTGAGGTATACTTTATATACCGGTACATCATCTTTGGAATTTGGTTTTTTGTTTTGAATTAATATTTAAGTGATTTTTTGTTAGTTGGAAACTGAAACTAAAATTATTGATAAGTAACATTTTAATAGCCAATGATCACTTATAATACATTCTAGGGACAAAGGAACATGTTAAGGCGGCGATTGCATGGACTGTTATGACAATAGTGATTTGTGTACAAGTATGTGTCTATGACAGCTGGAGCAAGATATAGAGAGAATATTAGAACAATAGAGAAAGCTGTAATTGTGTGGTGTGTATTGTCAATAGTGATCTGTGTCGACGCTTGTAGCAAAGACAGCTGGACTTAGATGCAACAGTAGATTGATAAAAAGAAGAAAAGGTTTTGTATCATTCTAGTTTTTTATTCTATAACCTTTCTTTTATTCTGACAATTATTGTCACACTATCTCATAATGTTGTATTACTACTCATTGTTGGCTATGGTTGTGGATTGTCACAACAATTTAAAATTTCTATCACTTAAACTATTTTGTTTCGCTTTCTTAAATGAGAAGTAAGTGAATTGTTCTCATGGTATAAGGTCCAGTTATACTGATTAAGTGTTGTGAACTCTCCTTGAAAACTGAAAACAGGGTCCAGCTGCCTTTAATATGTTTAAATAATTGACTTGATATTTTCATATCTCACAGGATATAATCTTGATTATTTACCATCTTTCATATAGTATAATTACTTCATGCTTCTTTTTTTATTAGCATCTAATGAAATAACCTCATGTATTAAGATGACCTCAAACAACATAAAGTCTACTGATTGCAACCGTTACATAGTTTAAACACAGCTACCGACATGTGGTTAATGCTGTATCAATTCAAGATGGTTTGATCAATTATTTTAGTACCTAACCCATATCAGGCGTATCGGCCATGATAAAACCATTAATACTCTGTATTGTACTGTCGCTGTATTGTACTTTATAAATACATTTAACCATAGTTTAGCCTTATGTGATCCTCTGAAGTTTAACGGTTAACTAGATTGACACCATTAAATAATAATTTTCTTTTTAAAAACTGAGCAGTTTGATTTTATGTACTAAAAGTAATCTTTTGCCAAGAATGTCTGCCGTCTTTTGAAGGAACAACAAGATTTCCCTATGTACGTTTGTAATTCAGTTGGAACGTGGTCTCTTTCTTTGGAAATCCAATCAGTAGGACTGCCCCAAGGCTATTAAAAAGAAAAAGAGGTTGCCTCAGTCGCGCGTATGACGTCACCCGCCGACCCGGATCTGTTTACAAATAAATAAATGAAAAACAAACAACAATAACAAAGTACTTGACAGGTGACAGCTGTGTGAATTAAAAGCAGCACCGTCCGGGTCAGCGGGTGACGTCATACGCGCGACTGAGGCAACCTCTTTTTCTTTTTAATAGCCTTGGGACTGCCCTGCATGTAAAAATATTAAATAACATGATTGAGATTGGTGATTATTTCTGAAGCAAAAGATTCTATTTGTGAGGCAATATTTGAATTGTAAATTAGAAACCAGATTGTTAAGTACTGTATGAATATCACATATTTCATACACAAACAATTAATTGAATGGCAAATATTTACTATGAAATATAATATAGTATAAAATATTCATTCGTTACTAAATCCATATCAAATACGATTTTTATAAACAGTCAATATATTGTTGTTATTTTAAGTATAACACTTAATAAAAGTCGGTCAAGTTATAAAATTAACCATAAATATTTACAAGGAAGTACATGTATGGATTGGGGTGAACGAGCAAGGGGCTTAAACAGGATTGTAGGCTTAGAAGCCTCACAGTCTCGTGACAGTCAGTCAGTGGCGTCGCGTCGGTCTCTGAACATCGAGTGTTGGTAGTAAACATGACTCATTTACCTACGAGACTGTTGGTGTTAGTAGTTATCTGTGTGGCTATAAGTGAAAATAGTGCGCGGTTTACTAGTGTAATCGACGAGGGCAATCTAAAGACATATGCAACAACGACGACAACAACTACAACAACGGGAAATGGTGAATCTATAGAGAACAAGGATGAATATACATTAACAACAACTAAAACCGCTGAAGAACAAAACACTACAACTACGGAAAGAGGTGGCATCGGATACGAAGAGTCTGAGAATGAGAATAAAGAACAGGAGAAGGTTTATCTTCATTCAACAGAATCCTCTGCCATTGAAACGGCTGAAGAGGCATACAGTGAAGAACCAGATGGCATACAAACCAAACAGCACGAACAGAAACACGACATTGATGTTAGCTTACATACTATGAATGGACACACCGTAGCGACCAATGACAAACAAATCACATCGATGACTTCCATTTCGAATAAAACCAATTTAAATCCCGAACCGATGACTTCTGAGGTACAGGTTGACGATTTCATGAAAAGCCGAGTAGCATACCATGATGCTATTGTTGCAGACGTAGGCCTAAGCGAAACAGATCATATTAACCCCTCAAAGGATTTTAATTCTTTTTATGACAAACCGAATCTGGAATCTGTAGAAGTACCAGAAAAAATTACTATAGAAGAAACCGCCGATATGTGGAAGGAAAGTACAGGTGAACGCGATGATATTTTAAAAGTGCTTGAGGATAACGAAGTATTAACAACCAATTCAACAAATGTTATAGATGTAGATATCCCTGAAGTTAACAAACATACAATAGCAGACGTTTACCAAAGAGAAGAGTACAACGATTTATTGAAAGAACAAGAAAGAAGTAACTACAGTAATTATAACAATTTAGAACAATTACCAACAACACAGACGTCCATTATGTCCCAGCCATCGACGATATCACCTGTTACCTACCACACGTTTAGCTCATTGAATGAGTCCCAATCAAGTAATAATACTATTGCTCAGCCAAATGTTTCTAAAGAACACACAAGCCAAGACATTGGATTGGGATTTGCCACAGAAAAAGAATTTGAACCAAAATATGAGACAAAGCTTACTAATCCTAGTAATTCTAGTCAAAATGAATTTAATGCTAACAATCCAACAGCGGAAAGGTTTTTTGCATTTGAAATGGAAAAGCACAGCAAAGGCAATATTTCGGATTATAGACCTTATCGCGATTTAGATACAGACCGTAAACCAACGTCGTCTCAATCATTTCGTGATTTTAAGGATATTTCGGAAGAGGATGTGATTGAAACTCAAAATCTTTTACCTGATCACCCAAGTTTTAAGAAAGAAAAGATCGAGCCTGGTCTTCTATTCGAGGAGTGTGTTGACTGTGACTTTCGCATTTTGCCGATAAGACCATCTGAGCAGCGTGACGCCCCTAAGATGGAAGAAGAGTCACTATCGACGCCAACCATTAGATTCCCTGATCTCCCAGAGGGGAGAGAACTTCAGATATATTCCCTAGAGCTCTCAGAGGGATCATTCTTGTTTGGATACCTTGGCGAGTTTCTCTCTTGGATACAACCAAATGACTTCCCAGTAGGTGAGCATAAATTTCACAATTTCAAAGTACTTTAAATTTATTTCTTGCATGCCATTAAAAAATATCTAACATATGTACGTCTGCAATATGTATATGAAACTTGAGAACTTTTAACATTGTTGTAATAGTAAATTAACTAGATTTTATATTATTTTAATTTAGTTATTCATCGTTTAGTAATTCACTTGCTGATACAAATCTGATCTGGTTAAATAAGTTTTTTCTTTTCATATTAAATATTATGTTTTAAAATCAAGATGTAACAAAGGTGCATGGTTAAATGCACAGTTAAATATACGTATACACTGAACGTTTAATACTACAAAGACAAACGTAATAGCTTAACGTGCTTAATAGCCCAAAAAAAAACTTTATCATGCCACAAACTTTATCACTAACTTTATCATCCCAGGCAAATTAGATCTTAGATATGAGACCTTCAATCGGTGTAGGGTGAACTTAGGTAAAAATTGGTAATATACAGTTCACAGCCTAATTTCAATGCTGATAGGAACAGTAAAAATATGTTAAGATACTTGTGGTTTAATATAACGTGGCACTTTGTATATCTGATATGGGCGTAAGAATAGACAGATTTAGGGCGAGGAAACAGGAAAGAAAATAAACTCACTTGTAGAGCCATACAAATAATAAAAATAAATAAAATATGGAAATCAATGATAACGAATTGTTTACTTATTAGTGAGAATAGATTTTTGAAGATCCACAAAATAATCAATTGCTAGATTTAATTCATAACAACATTTAACAAAATATTCCGAAACTGGTTGTTTTGTTGTATTGTTTTGCAAGACTGTAATAAATATTAGCATTGCACAGTAGAAAATGGTAGACATCAGACACTTTGTATAAATAGTGCAAAGGTTTGTGCGAGCATAATTTTAATTTATTACCAGACGATGGTTATGATAAACTGTTAGAGATAAATGTCAAGCAAATAAATGGTTAACGCTGGAATATCTCGGTGACAAATTTCCTTCTCAGACAATAATTTACTATTGTTGACATATTATTATGTATGATTATGGGGAAACTGATAATACAATTCAATTCATAGATATCACTCCGTTACATACACATATTACTAAAGAAAATAGATGATAAAACAAAGTACATTTAAATTAATAAATAATTACATAATACTGTCTAAAATAAGAAGTTTGGATGATTTCAAAGGTAGTCGTGAGACAAATGTTATTGCTGTGCTATAGTAAATTAACAAGGTTTAAATATTTTACTTTTATTTTGTTTCTTTTTTTCGATTTACAGGTACTGCGAACAATCAATACACTTAATATTGTAAATGTTGACACTGAGAAAGCTAATTATTTTCAATTTTAATAATACATCTCACAACGTTTAGGGAAATTGTCATATTTCATAAGCAGCAAAAAATATGAGCTGTAACGAATTGAAAGGATTTGCATGAATTGTATGAAATGAATTAATGAGTGAGAATCAATGATTGAGTAAGTATGAATGAATGAGTGAGTATTAATGAACGAAATTAGTAATTAACAATCTGTGATGAATCATTTCAGAATTACTGAGAGACGCATTGCGAAGCCAAATAACATGGGTCAGCCTTATTACTCAGGTAAGCCTATTACTAGGTACCACCATAGATAAATCATTTCTCCCTTAGTAGATTTGTCATCCTTATGGAACAGCTGAAGCCAATTTTATTGTTAGTTTTGTACGTCCAACTGTAGAGGTTATGTTTTGTTTACAATTTGTTTCTTGTAATTTTAGTCATTTAAAACCTCATTTAACCAAATAAAACAATTTGATCATTAACAATAACCGGTCCCCTAGTTACATAACCAAATAGTAAAGCACAAATCATGAAAATAATATAAACAAAATTTTGTCCACCACAGCAATCAGTGTGGACGTACATGAACTAGACATGAAAAACAAGCTTCAAAATTTACAATGGGATGAGGAGTCTACTTGTGTTGCTTAGTCTATGGTACCACTCACAGAATATTTGGGACACCTTTGTGCACCTTGTTTTGCCATAACAATAAAAATGCGTGAAGGTGAACTCTCAAAAGTTACTTCCAGTGTTATTCGTTGAGTCAGGACAAACATGTTTACTATAACAATATTGGTTGGGCCTTCATAGAGCCTAGTTTATCGACTGCGTATGTTTTCACAATTCCTTTAACATCTCAAAAACTGTTTGGTGAAAGAAATTTGGAAATTTATTTTATGGAGTTGTTTTGGTTACATGGCCATGTCTCATTTTAATTTCATTATATTACCTATTTTTGGATTATTTTATTATAAGTTATTTCATTATATCATGAATTATTTACAAGAAGTGTCTTTTGGCAAAAGTTTACATTATTTTTTTGCTATCAATTTAACAATGCCAAATACATATTTAATTAAATAGACATTACATTTAATAGTAAATAATATGGTACAGTTAATATATTTTAATACAAGTAATTTTCCAATTAAGTTAGTTGTCAAAATATTGAACAAATTACTTACTACATTTGTTTACTTATTACAAAATTCTCAAAAGACTAATCGTTTCTGTCCGATTTATCAAACATACGAGATACAGTGTATATGACAGCCATATTACATCAATGAGCAAGGAACTTAATTTAATATTTGGAGGTGGCTTACCTTTTGGAAGGTTTATTTACTTTGTTGAAAAAAAATAAGTTAGAAAACTGGTAAAACGCCAAAAAGAGGTCTCTTAAACACGCTTACGTATGATAAAAATGAAATAAAATGTAGCTAAGTAAAACATTTTTATACAGTTAAGGCTACCATACACACACTTAAAGAGTTTAAATTTCCATAAATTACCTTGCTAAATTAAATAATAACACAACCTTAGACCGTTACAAAGACTTAATTATCTGCGGGAATATCTTTCCAGTATTTTTTAAGAGAAACCTTGTTTGAAAAAAACTGCTGAAAATAAGTCCTCTAGCATTATCTTTTTAAGTTATTTCTACTTATAACATAGTGTTTACATTTTTATTAAATAAATATGAAAAACAAAAGGCTGTATAGGATTTTTAATATTTAATCATACTGGCTAGGCTTAGTTCTACTAATTGTACTGCATTTATATGTTTTATTTCAGTTATTTATGTTTAAGTTAATTAATGCACTACGGTGGTGTTCACAGTCACTAGAGGTGGAGGTGGGGTTTGTAGCGTTACTGGTTGTAGGGGTGTTGCTAGCCCTCGCTGTGCCTGTAGTAGTTCTGTCTCATGCCTGCTACCGCATCACCTCCAGTCAAGACGACGACGCCGACGATAAGGTGGGCTGGGCTGGCAACTGCCGTCGTCGCACTCTCGTCTTCATCCTGCAGATCCTCCTTGTGCTTCTTCTGTAAGTTATAACTGAGTAAACACTGTTAAATCAATTCCTCAGGTGAATAATCCTGTGGTAACAATCATTGTATAAATTGTAACTTTAGTTTAACTTGAGACCTCTTAAAGAACCTAAGAGGTTTCAAAATTTACATCTTCCTTGATTCAACAGTACGCTGTAATGGGACAAACTAACCCCATCCCCTGACAAAATGACTGTATCTATTCCCCCTGCCAAAGAACTGATAATTCATAAAATCTAATTTTTGTGGACTTTCAAGTCATTGACAAAGAGTTTTTTAACCTCGTCCTGATGTGTCCTAGTTTGTTCAGATTAAGAACGGCGGATATTTGACTTACTAACGAACAACTATCAGACAGAGGCTGTGGTGCAGAACTCCAACGTGACCCAGACTGTCCTCAGTCATGTATCCATTCTGTACGGTGGTCACCTTTGTCACCAATGAGAACTATCAGACAGAGGATGTGGTGAGGAGGTCCAAAGTGATCAAGACTTCCCTTTAATCTTGTAACCACTCCTGTTTAAGGATACGAACGGTTGTTATGCCTGATAGTTGCTCATTAATGAGAAGCGATCCAGACTTCCCTCAGTCATGACATGACATTGTGTCCTTTTCTTTTTAGGGAGATACATGGTAGCTATATTTGTCACCAATTAATTAGCAACTATCTGAATCTGTGGTGAAGAGCTCTGAACGTTGTCCAGACCTCCCTTAGTGATATGTCTATGTTTGTCTAGGGGAAGAATGGTGGCTATGTTTGTCACTAAGAAGCAACTATTTGAATCTGTAGTGAATAGCTCTGACGTTGCTCAGACCTCCCTCGGCCATGTGTCTATGATTATCTAGGGGAGGAATGGCTATGTTTGTCACCAAAGAGCAACTTTCTAAAGCTGCAGTGAAGAGCACTGGTACCAGACCTCTCTCAATGATGTGTCTATGTTTATCTAGGGGAGGAATGGCTATGTTTGTCACCAAAGAGCAACTTTCTAAAGCTGTAGTGAAGAGCACTGGTGTTGTCCAGTCCTCCCTCAGTGATGTGTCTATGTTTGTCTAGGGGAGGAATGGTGGCTATGTTTGTCACCAATTAGCAACTATCTGAAGCTGTAGTGAAGAGCACTGGTGTTGTCCAGACCTCCCTCAATGATGTGTCTATGTTTGTCTAGGGGAGGAATGGTGGCTATGTTTGTTACCAATTAGCAACTATCTGAAGCTGTAGTGAAGAGCACTGGTGTTGTCCAGACCTCCCTCAATGATGTGTCTATGTTTGTCTAGGGGAGGAATGGTGGCTATGTTTGTTACCAATTAGCAACTATCTGAAGCTGTAGTGAAGAGCACTGGTGTTGTCCAGACCTTCCTCAATGGCGTGTCTATGTTTGTCTAGGGGAGGAATGGTGCCTATGTTTGTCAATAATTAGCAACTATCTGAAGCTGTAGTAAAGAGCTCTGAACGTTTTCCAGTCCTCCCTCAGTGATATGTCTATGTCTGTCTAGGGGAGCAATGGTGGCTATGTTTTTTCACCAATTAGCAACTATCTGAAGCTGTAGTGAAGAGCACCGGTGTTGTCGAGACCTCGCTTAGTGACATGTCTATGTATTTCCAGGGGAGGAATGGTGGCTATGTTTGTCAATAATTAGCAACTATCTGAAGCTGTAGTAAAGAGCTCTGAACGTTGTCCAGTCCTCCCTCAGTGATATGCCTATGTCTGTCTAGGGTAGCAATGGTGGCTATGTTTTTTTACCAATTAGCAACTATCTGAAGCTGTAGTGAAGAGCACTGGTGTTGTCCAGACCTCCCTCAGTGATGTGTCTATATTTATTTGTCTAGGGGAGGAATGGTGGCTATGTTTGTCACTAATGAGCAACTATCTGAAGCTGTAGTGAAGAGCTCTGATGTTGTCCAGACCTCCCTCAGTGATGTTTCCACATTCGTCCATAACTCTCACCTTCAGCTACACTTTCTGGTAACTCAGTCTATGGACCAGGTCCTCCAGGCCATATATGCTGATCTTGACAGTGAGTTGTTGAAATACTAGTATATTTAAGTAGCAATAGACAATTTGTAGATGCATTTGTTGGTATTGTTGCTAGTAGCTATTAGCTGCATGCGTACAACTTTTTTATTTCAACTGTTATGAATGCAAACGTACTCTTTTACTGTATAGTATTCTAATTAATGCAGTTTTTTTACAAATTTAACCAAAAATAAATTCACAATCATACGAAAGACTTTGCGTCAATCAATCTTTGAGTAGTAAAATAATGTTAGCAAAGAATACACAATTTACATGTGTACTAGTAAAATCGCCTTCATATTTTTTACGAATGCCATTAATGTCCTGTAATTACAACCATTTTACGTTATCACACTTTATTCACAGAGACAAAGACAATAAAATGCTTAGTTTATGACACTGCATGTACGTGAGAACACAGTACTTTGAGATATACTGCTTTACTCTAAAATCTGTCTATGTTCACTGCTTTTGGATTATGATCTCACTATGTGTATTGATGTCGATTAAATAAAAATATTGTTTGATAACAATAAGTAAAGTCTCACATTTAAGGCCAGTGGATGTTTTGTATACCACAGCATTTGTGTTTTCCCCATGTGTTGGAAAGCTAATTTTGTTATATGTCACACATGGATGTACTTCGAAGACCGTCCATGTTTATAGCTTCATGTCATTGTTTATCTATGTTTCCATCCAATAACACAGGTATAGAGAGTTTATGTGCTGCTACTGTCAGGTCTGTATACAAGGTAATGTCGTGTCAGGTGCGGATTTACACGGCGTCTGGCTAACTTTATTACCTGTCGGTTTTGTTTATTTTTCCCTCTGTAGTGAATAAAACTTCTTTCGAATTTATTATGTATGATATTGTAGTTTAACGTTTTCAAAACTATGCACGAGTGAACAAAAAATTAAATACCGTACCGTCTTTAAAATGTAGACGTATCTTATATTGAGCACACTTATTGTGTTATAGAATAACAAAGAAAAGTTTTACAATTGCTTATATATTTACTAGGATTTAAATGTTTGTCCATACTTAAAAGTGCTGATTAGAAAGCAAACTTAAGGGTTTCAAATTAGCGGTTTGTCTTTAAATTGTTTACTCAAAAAGATCTGTGAACAGGACAGCACTATAATTACCTGCGTAAAAAATTTACCAGGCAGATAACAGTATTGAAATTAACGCATGAGTCATATCAGTTGCTATAGCTTATAATAAGTCGTTTCATCAGTTGGACTTGTTAAAAAATAAACTGTACTTTCTCCCAATAACTTCTCATAACCTTTATCATGGGTAAGCGATGAGAGTAACTAACTATGATATTTAATAGGACAAATCACAAAAATTGCATTAATTTTTGAACCACAATTTTTACAGGGATGGTTGCACTATTTTGTTTAGAATTACAGTAGAATTTCAATCAGGAAAGGTTTTTTTCAAATCCATTTTTTCCGTTTTTAAAGGTTTTATGGGAAAATATTATAAGTTTCAATAACTTATGGACCACAATTTGTATACCAATGGGGGGTTGCACTATGCTGTTAAGAGTTTTAAGGACCATCGCATACCAATTTCGATCAAAGCCGGTTTTTTTAAATGCGATTTTCTCTTATTTTATGTGTTTTATGTGAGAGTTACATAATTTACAATAACCTTTGAACCATATATTTTTTTAAGAAATTGTAGTTATACATTTTTTTTAGAACTAAAAGGCTACAACATACTACATTTTATCAAAATTGTTCGGACCATTTCGAGGAAATTCGAGTTTTCCTTTATTTTATGGGAAAACAAACATTAAAAAATCAAAATTACAAAACAATGAATAAACCTCCCGGGTATATCATAGATTAGTACCTACGTAACGAATGTCATCAAAATCGGACCACATGAGTAGTCTTTAGCACATCCACACATACAGACACACACACACACAGACATTACTTTAAAAGCCACTTTTTTGGGTCAAAGAAGACGGATATATCCACTCAAAACTCAAACTCCAAAATTTTGACGAAAGCAATCTTTTCTCCATTTACTTATGGCATAGGGAGAGAAAGTAAAAATCGTGTATTCGAAAAACAAATTAAATGTAGTTCAGCGCAATCTCTTGGTGGTTAACATCAACTACGACGATTTTGATATAAAAACTGCAGCAACTTACACACGGGGATGGGATGTCGTAGAATGGATTGTGATGCCTTGTGTAGCTTTGTTACTGACTATGACTAGCTGTTTCATTAGTCAGGAAAATTGTTTTAAAGCTTAATGATCAAGGAGAGAGGAAGGTATTTTAGAACCTTCAAAAAACACTTTTCTCAGGATCGTCCCGGCAACCTTTCGATTACTAGGTGAGCACTATTCCTCCTATACACTATAGCCTCCTACCACTATAACTTTGCCGGAATGTGTGTTATAGTACTTTAAGCAGCGATTGCGTTAAGGCGGTGTTAACGACACCAGTAGAAATTTAAGGTACGAGCTTTGGCGAGTATCTTAAAAACCTCTAACTTCTTTACCTACGACCTTATTAATTAATAACAATCACTACTCATAACTTCTAATAGAGATTATGATTTAGTTTATAAACTTTCATTGCCACTGACAGCGATGCAAAGACTCATTGTACCAACCACAAACTGCACCGATCATTAACAATTAAATTGGTAAACAGCTGATTAGTTGAAGTTCAAAGCATTACAATTTTACTTCTTTTCTCTCGATCCTCAAACCTAATTGGTCCGTTACTCGTATTATTAATTAAAACAATGCTTTTAAGTAAGAAAACAATTCTGTAGAGTGAATCTTTTCAATTCTGGGAACTGAAATGAACGGCTAGTAAAAAAAAACGGTCGTAGGTAAACACATTCAAGATCACAATAATCGCCCGCTTTTATATTATAGTTATCATATACAGTTTATTATGGTAGGTATTACTGCTCTGAAATATCTAGAACTTTTTTTCAGGACAAAATATATAAATCCTTAAAGTTATTTTGTTTATTATTTTTGTTATTTCGGCTTAAAAGGAAATAAAACTGCCCCGAGTAGAAAAACTCAAAAAGAGGATCTAGGCCGTATATTTAATTTGTTTATTACTTAACTGTATAATTAATATTTTAAGTTTTTCATTGTGTACCGTGACTTGTTTAAATGAAAATTCAATAATGTTTAGTAAATAGCTATTAAATAACTAGAAACAATTAATAAAAATATCAACCATATACAAACATATAAGAAATGTATAAAAATAATTAATAATCCAGATTAAATTTTGAAGTAATAGAAAGAATGTGTGATATTTGCATGTAAATATCAAACGATAACATTTGACTCAACAACAGACGCCAAGAAAAGTAAATACAGGATTCGTTATGTTGCAATAATGGGAATGTTATTTACTTAATAACACTCTATGTTAGTTTTCCTTCCAGTTTTGGAGGGTTTGTATAAACTATTTCATTTTTTTAAATAAACACAAAAAGGAAGGGAAAAACATTTTTGGTAGTTTTATTAGGATAATAAATTTATTCAAGATAAAGCGTCAGCTTGCGAAGATTTAGAATTAAATAAGAATGCAAAAGCTTCAGTGATTTTCGTGCTCAGATAAATCTCCTTTGATTCAGTAGAGATAACACGAGTCAAGAGTTTCCTGGAAAAATATTCGTGGAATAGATTTTGGTTTTGGTTATTCTGAGTGAAAGAAAACTGCGAGAATCCAATGTTTACTTTGACAGGTTTTGTATCAGTTTTAATATAGATGGTTGCTGTGTGTTGTTTAGTTTAATTTATATTTTTTAACCACATATAAATTTAAGTATAAGACCGTTGGGGAAGTAGCCACTTTAAATCCATTTAAAGTGAAACCAAAAATCATTGTTTAAGCTATGTTACAAACATTGTCTAAAGGCCTCTAAAGCAATATAAGAGTGATACATTTGTAGAGTAACAAACTTTGATTGGGATCAGTAATGTGATTCAAACATAATGTATTTGACGTGACTAGCTGACCGTAATCTACTGTTGTAATGCACGTTGAAGAGGAATTCATATTTTAAATATTCTGCTAATAATGCTATCAACAAGTTAACTGCACCGTTCTGTAAAGCGGAACTCATTCGTAGGCAATGAACGGAATGGCAGTAATAACTGCAATTACAATTTATGAGCTTTCATTTTAAAACATCATAGTTTATAACAAAATATAAAACTCCCTTCACAGAAAATCTGCACACCAAACGACTTTTAGGATAATTTTATTTGTTACCTACCGTATAAACTAGAACCCCTATATTAAAAAGTGTTTATACAAATTAAAAGGTATAGAACCTCAGTGTCAAAGTTTCATCTTATGATAGCGGGATGACCAAAATTCATATATCTTATGACGGGTAAATTATGGACCATATATAGATATAAGGTAAAAAAACTTATTCATTTGTCGAAACTCCACACAAAAAATAACGTTATACATGTGTAACGATATTCTGAGGACCCTAATACAAACAGTTGAGTAAGTACTGGCCAATATCCCTATAGCACGACACGCTAAGGCAAGGCTGTTGTTGCAGATGTGGATACACTGCTGGGTCGACCCATACAACAGGAGATGGTCAGAGAGACAGGCATCGATGTCGCGCTGGAGTCTCTCGCCGACCTGACCAGAGGTGAGGGGATTGTTGGTACAGTAGTTATCTAAATTATAACAGGCATATTTACAACAATCCTACACACTACACACAGCAGAACATATCTGCAGTTCCCCAACGTCAAACGCCACTTACACTTACAAACATAAGAGAACTTTGAAAATGCTACATGTTCAATAAAAGTGTGACTTAACATCTAGGTAGATACAATAAATCTATTACACATTTTTTGTTCGATTGACGTGTCCTAAAACATATTTAATTATTTTAATCATTAAATAATGTATTTTGGCACCCAAATTTATAGATAGGTTTGAGGTACATAATCACTAATCAATATGATATTATTTTCTACACTTAACATTTTGTCGAGAATGGAAAGTATAATATTGGTCTTCAGATTATGAAATAAATTGTTTCATTATTGTACGTTTGCTCCAATCAGAGCCAATTTGATCGTCGTTATTTGCTGTCACTGTAATATCGTTGATTGTTTGGTGTACGAAATTGATTTTTACCGCAATTATGTTTATTCCTGTAGCAAATGCTCATATCATAGAATATTGAAATATGTTGTTTCCCTTCTTTTGAAAATGACAGATTAACATCATTCATGTGTAATTTCTTTATTTATGTGTGTTAAGTAATATTTCTTTTTATTTAGGAATATATTTTCTTTATTTCCGTCATTACTTTTTATTACATAGTTAATCCACATTAAAAGCAGTTAAAATGACAACGAAACCTTATTATTTAGACAGACTGTTATTTAAACAAATTCATATTATTTTCAATCCCATATTATATTCAATGAAATAATTATACAAATTCATTGTATGATTTGATACAATCCAAATCTGGATTGGGGCCTGTTTTGGATATCCTTGGCTATGTGACCTAAAATAGCTTTTCAGAATGCAAATACTAAAATGTGTACCTGTTTCCCTAAAAGCGTTTGTGTACTTGTACTCTTCGACATCTCTTCAGATAAAAAGTTAAAATAATAACAATATTCAAAGCATTAGCCTTATTGTTTGGATCTAATCTCTTCCTTTTAATCCAAGTTTTATCTGCATTGAAGTAATGTTTTTGCTATTGTATATTTGCTAAACAGCCCTGACCTCAACAGAATGTAATGCCACCTTACTATACATAGTAACACAGTAGTATCATGCATGTGCAGAGGCAAAGGAGACGACGCAGCAGGTTGAGCGCCTATTGGATGAGGTTCGAGTGGTCCAAGAGATGGTCATATCCACCTCAGAGAAGATGTCTGACCTACGACAGCAGGTGGAACTGTTTCGGCGAGCGTGTGGACCACGAGACCGAGCCTTGTGTGACACCATCGACGCCACTGGCTTGGACGTGACTCTGCGGGTGGATAGGGTAAGGAAAGTTGTACATAATATTTGTAGCTACCGGTGTTCACTATAAGCATCTAGGCAGCCAGTGCAACTCCTAGGATCGTGGATCAGATCGGAAAACCCCCACCACCGCTCCGTGCCGATGGTGTGACGTCAACCATTACCGCAACGATACGGAGATGTGTCATGAGCCTTGGTGGTGTAGTGGATAGCGTCTTGGGCTGATATCCTGAAGGTACCGGGTTCGAATCCCGTTAGTAGCACTAACAAAAGTTAGAGCTACTAACGGGAATAATTGACAAAAATGTCAACACATTTTTTCATATCAGCAAGTTTGGTTGGTTTGGTTAGGTTATGACGGTTTTATTTTATAATAAAAAAATCATAAAATTGAATTTGAGACATTTATAATTTTGTTTTTAGAACAGAGCTATTTTTTCGATTAGTAAACCTTCATTCGAGTTTATCATTACAGTATCAGCAAGTTTGGTTAGTTTGGTTAGGTTATGGCAGTTTAATTATATTTAATTTTAATTAAACCTACAAATTATACGTTTTGACAGCGACAGTGATAGAGATAACAATATTCCGCGAACAGTTAGATAGGCTATGCTGATGAGCCGGTATGATTCGGAAGCGTACGACATGGTGCGGTGGTGCTACAGCGCCTCTGATCCACGATCCTCGGAGTTGCACTGGCAGTCTAGACGCTAGTGTTTTCACTGAGGTGTGTTTTAAATGTGAAAACCAACATAATATCGTTGGTTAATTTAATTTATTCGTCTTTGCAGCTCAAGAACGATAACAGGTTACACCGCATGCGCCGGATGGGAGGTATCGGGCTGGAGACGGCATCAGCAGAAGCCAAGGCTCGCTTCACCTCGGTCCCTTCCAGGGTTGTGACTGATACGAGAGACGCTAGGGAGGGTAAAACATGTCTCATAGAACCCAGTGTCTCAGTAAAATACCTTTTTTGTAGTTTTTTGTTTGTGTTAGTGTTTTGTAGTTATATTTTTTAGTTTATCAATGTAACTAGAAACCAAAAATGGTCTATACAAAATTTATTAAACAAGTAACGATGCATTTTTTATCAACAAAACCATAAACTACACTTTTGTGATTTTTTGTAACCATACACTCTTGTGATTTATTTCTAATTGTGCACTTTTGTGGTTTCTTGTGAATTATTACGTTGTTCTTTATCCTGTGTGTGTGATATTGTATTAAACATTAATTGTCATCTGTATTTGTGTTGATAATAGCGGCCCGGCGGCAACTAATACGTCAGAGAGCGGATGTGGACGACCGCAGCGTTGCACTGGAACGTTTAGTCAGGGACATGACAGAGAAGGTGAGCGAGGCTAAATACCAGTCAGGCTTCTGGATGCAGGATATTAACCAGTTTGAGTATTGGAGATGGATCATCTGCATGGGTGAGTTATTTAAGATTGGCACATGATAGTATAAATAAAACTTAGTCTCTCAAACTGATAAATTCATATTTCACTTCCCTGATTATGAAATTGAGCACCTAACATGATCTAAATGTTGCACATACGTTCGAAATTGACTACAGATTTTTAAGTACATCTATAACATAATTGGTTGGGGAAGAGCTTTAAATTACTATCTCTTTTCGCCTCCAGGAGGAGGTGCGGCCGTGCTCATGGTCTGGACGATGTTATTGTGTAGTCTTTGTTGTGGCTGCTGTGGTTCGGAGAAGGCTGCAGGTCCTACCATCCTGATGTAAGTAGCTTACACATCTAATAGGGCTGACTCATAAGCGTTATACAGGGTAAACAATTACATAGCAAGCCTCGCCCTACAAAATCATGTTATCAACTATTCATCCTTTTAATATAATATAATGTTTAAATTACGAATATTTTGGTTATGTAGTCGTTGGCATTTGTCCAAGTTGCATCGACCGTAAATTTTCAATTACGGTTTGTACAGTAATAACAAACATGTAAACATAAACATTGTGAAGACACATTGTGAATTAGATTAACAGTGAGCTGCCTAGAATGAAAGTGGCGCAAGTATAAATTTTGCAAATCTGAGTTATATACAAAATTGGGCTCCTTTTAGCTCTTCTGTTCAGTATGATGGTGGTGTTAGTCAATATTTCAAAAACTGGCCACCAGGAGCAGCACCAAAAGTATCAACTAACCAAAACAACTTTTGTACTGAGAATTACAGGGATGTAAGTCACTTAAAGCCATATATGGTATCTGACTTAAATATAATGTTTTATGCTAATAAAATGTTAAGCCAAAACCATTTCTACATATATATATAGTCTGGATTTGTTTAAAAGTTGTTTCACAAAAAAAAAAAATACTCAAAACTTCGTTTCAGTGACTTACACCACTTTCATTATATAACGTGGGGTTTTAAACTTTTTATGTCATAATAACAAAAATTACTCCAAACTAAGGTGACTTACACCACTTTCATTCTAGGCAGCTCAGTTATCTCGGTGGGACGGGGCTGCGGCGTTGCCACTTTTGTCTTGCCGCGGCCTTGTGTTAGAGGAGGCTATGTCCTAACACTACACAACTCCCAAATTTCCACAATGTAAATAAATCACAAACAATTGATTTATTAAAACGTTTTTATTAGTTCGCTTTCTTGTCCGGTACAAATTTTGCAATCAATTGTATACTAACTTTCCGATGAGCTAGAGACTTGAAACATAGCTCACAAATGGAAGACAATGCAATATTATATAATTTAATTTTCATATTTCCCTTGGACTACGCCCCATGGGCTTGTTTTTTTACCTCGCTTTCCTACAAATTTTGATATGAATTTTAAACGAAGTTCCCGACGAGTTAGAGACTTGAAATTCGAAACATAGCTCACAAATGGATACAATGCAATATTATATCATTTAATTTTCATATTTCCCTTGGGCTACGCCCCATGGGCTTCCAAATTTCCCATGTTTACATTTGAAAAAAATGTAAATATATTAATTAATTTAAGTCAGCTGTACATACTTAAATTTAACAGTTCAAAGAGCAGAGGTTAAGAGGTACAATGCTCCCAAGAGATTCTTTATACAAACAAACATTTTAAAATAAAGATAAACAATCTGAGTGCAGATATAAAGGTGTTTGTTAATAATGTCGATTGTTATTTATTTAGTATTCTATAAAGTAAACAATAAATTAAATAGATTGATATATTTATAGTTAGTAGGTAGGCCATACATTCAATCTAATACATAATTATATGAAAAGAAACTCAAATAAACCTTAGATTCCTAAACTAAAAAGTAGAAAATAATTTATAAATATAGTTATTTGTGTAACTAATGGTGAAAGTGGCACTTTGCTGCACACGAGAGCAATGTTTACGCACGAGCCGCAGGCGAGTGCGGAATGATCTCGAGTGCAGCAAAGGCCTTTTTCACTCGTGTTACACATTATATTTTTCCTACAGTCACTATAAAACATAAATAATTAGTCTTTCAAACACTATACAACACGTTTTTAGGTTCAGCTAGCAACACAATTACACAAATGGTGCCCTGGAGAAAGTAGTACCCGTGGTCCGTATCACTCCGCTATTTTTCCTCGGCAAGAAATGTGCTCCGTCTTTTGAGAATATAGTTCCGTATGTTTTTGTAATTTGAAGTGGTTTCCGCGCCTAAAAAAAATGCTTTAAAGGTATTTTCTTGTTTATTAAGACCGTAGGAATGTTTTAAAAACGTTTAAAAGAAAAGTCCAGAAAGTTCAGAAATACCAAAACTATAAACACGAAATGACAGGTTAAATCGTAGTTATAATAGTCAATCAGCTGTTCATAGTATTATTATCTTTAAGTGTTGCCAACCTATTTCCAAGCGTACACGGATTACGTGCATAATAAAACCACGCTGTTTTGTGTTGTTTGGTTGGAATCCTGATGTGCGGCAAAGTATAAACCGTGCGGCAAAGTATAAACCGTACGGCAAAGTATAAATATGCAGCAATTAGCAGCTTTCTGTACTATAAACAGTACAGGGAAGCCAACTTTGTCGGGTGACTGTAGGAAAAAAAACTTTTTTTAAAACAAAAAGGCTCCATCACTGGCTACCAAAGTTTCCATGTTGATCTTATAAATAAACTAACTAATAGAAGTAGTAAAATAATGTATAAATAAAAAACTTTTTTTAAAACAAAAAGTTTTCAAACTCACTAAAAAGTAGAAAATAATTTATAAATATGTGGAGAGTATAAATCCTTGTAAGATTTAGAACGAAAAACATGGGGTGCTTGCAATTGATAATAATACATTAGTTCAATAGGTGAAGGTAATTGTAAATTATCTATTGCATGCACCCCACTTTTTTCGTTTTAAATCTTACAAGTATTTATACTTTCCATATATTTATAAATTATTTTCTACTTTTTAGAGCGTATGAAAACGTTTTGTTTTAAAAAAAGTTTTTGATTTATACATTATTTTACTACTTCTATTAGTTAGTTTATTTATAAGATCAACATGGAAACTTTGGTAGCCAGTGATGGAGCCTTAGGAGAGATTAAAAAATTGGCCAAAGTCCATGTTTTGTATATTTGGTTGAATCTTGCAAAAATTGTAAAGAAATTGGTCCTGTAGTCACATTTACAATATTGGTAAGATGAGAAAAGATTAGTAAGATTTCTACTAACCCGCTGTGTATACCAGATAACGTATGAAATAAATACATGCTACAATAATAAATACCCCCACATATATATTATATTCAACCTCTACCCTAATACCCCCATAATTTATAAGGAGACCTGTTATAACCCCTAAGCCCCCACTTACATTGTGTTTATCTGCATTGAAATGTTGTTTTTGCTGTCGTGTATTTGCCAAAACAGCCCTGACCTCAACAGAATGTAATGCCACATCACTATACACAGTAACATAGAAGTATCATGCATGTGCAGAGGCAAAGGAGACCTTATTAAATATTTAAATATCAAGTTATACAAGTTATCAATATAACTTTAGATAAATATATTTACGCATAGGAGTGGTTTTACGTTACTCGCTGGAGAGCAAGAAGGTAAATATTGAAAACATGAACAACGAAACCAAATATTGTGCTTAGTTGACAACTTATTTTAAGATAAGGTTTCTGGTAACCAGTTATAATTATATTAGTATAGAATTATGTGATTAACAAGCTGTTTTTCTTCCACCATCCTTAAATAAATATGCTGTTGAAAATTAAAAATAACAGGGGTATCCGTGTGATTTTTTACGAAAATGAAATAGCAAATTCTTCTTTTATGAATGTATTTATTTAGTTTCATAATCAAAACATTTTTATAGGTAGGTTTAAATGCAATGTTGGGTATCCAAGTGAGATAATTTTCATTTATCTCTCGTATTTTGATTTCAAGTGATGTGGTTGATGGGCTGTGTTTATTGTTATAGGGTCTTTAGCCGTTGCATAAGCAACGTTGTTTAACGTTTTCATGTGGGTGTATAGGATGTTGTAATAGGTGAAACTATTACAGGACGATAGTTCTGGTGTGTCTACTGTCTACGGCATTGTGGTCGGTGGCTCTGGTGGGGATGTTGTTCGGTGGCCACGGGGAGGTGTTTGTTTGTCGACCTCTGTACGACGAGCCAGACTACCACGTGATAACACGCCTGGTGGACCAGCCTGGAGTATTCTACAGCCAGCCCAAGGGAGGGTTCATAGCTAACGTCATCTATGGCAACGACACTCTGGACGTGCCTATAAGACATGTACTGGAGTAGGTAGTCAAAGATCGCATCCTCTACCGTTGGTTTATAGTCTAGACTAATCACAGTAAATAACCTCTCGGTGACTGCTTAAGAAGAGCGCACATAGTACGAGAATGAGACAAGTACCTACTATTTTTCTGCTAATGTTTCAGCAAGTTGGTCTATAAAATAGTAATTAGTGGGAGGAATTAAATCCATATATAGTCAACGGCTATTTATGAATATTTTGACAGTAAACATGTTTTTAGTCATCTATAAGGCCTATACGATTTGTCATTAAAATATTTTGACAAGAAAGTATTTGTACAACAACGTTCAAGTAGAACATTTTTGATTGTCTGGTTTGGGGTACCAACTTGCTGCAAAAAGTTTAGCAATACACAGGAGTGATTAGCAGGTTTTTGGCAGTATATAACCCACTGTTGGCTAGTTTGTCTATTATATTATTCCCGTACATAAACAACGTGTATGACTCAATGCTGTTATCATTGATTTACTGTATCCGAAATTAACTATACGAAAATTGTTTGTTGCTCAAATCAAAAGACCCTGTTCGAAATGTAATGTAATATAAAAAAATATGCCCTAAGTACTAAACCAAACCAACATTCTACTGTAGTAATAGACTTTCTTATGCTTTTTATTTGATTGTACGGATGTTAAATAACTCACAGTAATACAGACATAGATTGCGTGAAGTTTTCTTGTTCTGCTTGTTAGGGAGGTGAACATTCGAGTTATTCCTCGGTAAGACCACACGTAATGTAACAAGTAATCAACATTTCCATCCCTGCAGTCCCCCCTCCCTCACTGCAAATACCAACCAAGTGAGGCTTCCCTGCTGTCCTAGTATTACAATCTAGAGGATTGCATCGATCTCGACTTGTCAATTTAGTTTTACAAAATGAATTTTATTGTTTTACGTATCAAAGATCAACAACCCTATCAGATCTCATTTTTATTAAAAATACCATCATTGATTAGGATTTGTTTTTTTTTATTTATTTAAATAAAAACTTCTGGTTAGTGGGTTGTATGTTTATTTTATATATTTACAGTGTCTAGGTTTACCAGTGTATATCTTAGTATTGGTTTTGAAATTATTGAATATACTGTACTAATAAAACAAAACAAAAAACAGTTCGAAAGTAAAGTGTATAAGTTAGAGTTTTTGTCATGATTTGTAGCCTATGGTGGATGTTTTGTTCAGGGAGTGTCGAGAGAACCATGCCTTGTACCCGACTCTGGGGCTAGGGCGAGTGTTTGATGTGGAGGCTGCTGTGGATCAGAACCGATGGTCATCCGTCAGCATGCAGCTGCGCTCAGTCAGAGCGAACCTCAGCAGTCTGGAGGTACTGAGTCCGGTGCTTCAGGATCAGCTGGGCGATCTGCTGACCACTCTGTCAGTCAACTTTACTGAGCATCGCATACAGGTGAACTATGCTGCTACTGCTAAGTAACGGGCTGTACTTTAACTCACTTTCAAATCGTTATCAGAAAAATAATTCTAAACATTTTGACATTATTGAAGCAGTAATTCCTATACATGTAATATTCAACAGTATTGCATGGTGTCCACAGTAGAGTGGTATAATTTCATACCTAAGCCTGTAACTTTCTAACGAAAGCGGTTCTACATGTGATGGTTGTATCCGCCACATTCAAAGTTTAGTTTTACTCATAATTGTTGACAAGTTTGTCACCTGAGTGTATATTGTGAGTTGTGACCAAAAATTAAAATTGTTGACTAGCAGATACAACGAACAAGGTGTCAGCCAACCTTTTTTCAGGCTTCATTATTTTTCTGTCATCCCACCTTGTATTATGTAAGTTGTAGTATTTTGGACACCCTGTATTTTTTTAGTCACTAAAAGTGGATGAAGCCTTTAGTTTGTTTTGCGTTAAATTTATCGTACAAAATGAGAAAAATAGTTCAAGTTACGAAAGAAAGCGTCAAAAGTAAATAGTCTAAAATTGGATGTTATGGTGCGTTTCAGATGTCGCGTCCAGTGACAGGTAAGGACATGGACTCGTTTGCTCGTCAGTTGGATAACATCGGCAACCAGATGAGAGACCTGGCAGTGGCCTCTCGCATGGAGACTCTCAGTACTCGCACCAGACGACTCATAGACTCTCACATCAGGCCGCTAGAGAGCAAGAAGGTAAAGATTGAAAAGATGAACAACGAAACCAAACATTGTGTTTAGTTGACAACTTATTTTAAAATAAGGTTTCTGTTAACCAATTATAATAATAATAGTTTAGAATTATGTGATCAACAAGCTGTTTTTCTTCCACCATCCTTAAATAAATATGCTGTTATGTCATAAGGAAAATTTAAAATAACAGGGGTATCCGTGCGATTTTTTACGAAAATTAAATAGCAAATTCTTCTTTTATGAATGTATTTTTTTAGTTTCATAATCAAAACATGTTTTTAGGTAGGTTTAAATGCTGTGCTTACGAATTCAATTTAAAAGCTTTATCGGTTTTATGAATTATATTTCCCATGTTAACTATTTGATTTTCAATATTTCTTATAAAAAGTGCTGAAAAACTCAGCGTTACCTTCCTTGCATGGGATTGTGATTTCAAACTAAACTCGGGTAAGAAACTGGAGACTAAAAGTCATATTAGTCGCATCTTAGGGTCTAGAAACAGGCCACAGCTTTAGATGGAGAAAGACAAAAGAAATAGATCAAAATTTTCTGATCAAGATCAAGAATTTGCTAAGCAAGACTTGACGAGAATTGTAGGTGGGACAGTTTTAGAGCAATCTTTGGATGCAAAGTTTAATTTTCTAACTCATCACCAATATAAGTGATGTGCCTAAGCCGAAACTTGAGAAACATTCTTCTTTGGAAATGTAACAGTAGTTATTTTTATTATCATTATCAATTGAGATGGAAACGCCACTCATATGCGTATTTAAAACCGAATATGAGTGAAGGATGTGAGTAGAATGGTGTGAGACGAGCTTTTTAGTTTTGTTATTGACTAAGATCAGCTGTTTATTAACCAGGATCATTTATTTAAAGTACAATGATCAGGAACATAGAAAATCTACTGACTTTTGTCAGGATCGATCCGATAACGTTTTCGTTGTTAGGTGAGCTCTATAACCACTCAGCTACCCAGTCATATTATGTTACTTCATAAGCAAATGTTGCGTTCAAAAATGTTAAATACAAATTTCGTGCGATTTCAAATTTGTTACTTGACGTGATAACGTGTAAAAACCCAACGGAACTCCGAATTGACTTTTGCTCATAGGTTGCAAGTGGTGATTATTTAAAAACATATCTGTCCGATACAAAATTCAAAGGCAATTAGCAGGCATTTGGCCGGTCTTTAAATTTACATACAGTTGGGATTCCATGACAGTACCGTACATACCTGATTTCCCCAGTTTCTATTTTGGAAGGTTACATTGGAATGGTAGTTTTATTTAATTTACAGTAATAACCTGCGATTCCGGCACGTAAAAAACAATACAATTTTCTTGTTTAAGTCACAGTTCTTATCATAGATCTTAAGTATTACATCTTCAACAAACTATTGTATTTACGTTTTCAGCTTTCCTCTGAAGAATTGAATTAGCGTTATATAGTTATGTATCGAGGATATATTATGATCATAAACTGGTACCGAGACTATGAAAATGTGTACATCACTAGTAAATGAGAACCTTTCATATTTAGTACGATATAAATATATTTTGACCCCAAAATAAGAGGAATTTGCTACAGGAATTTTCAAATAAAACTTATAATGAATGGTATGTTTGAATAAACAGAATACAAACGATTTTGTTTGTATTTGAAACTAGGTTAGGATTAATTTAATACAGTCGGAAGAACACCGACAAAAGGAAGTTAGTTGCATTTTCTGACACTTCTGTTATTGGGTCACCGAGGCTAGACTGTTTATAGGGTCTTTAGTTATTATTGCTGGCATCGTATACAATACATACTAAATCTCTAACTAGCTACATACGTTTCAATTTTTTAGTTGACGTCATAAAAAAACTCAAAAGTTGTATACGAGAACTCCTTTATAACCGACTTGTATGAATAAATAAGGCTTAAAGCATTTGTTTTTCAAGCACATACTTAAACTAAACTCTATACTGCATCACCAAGTAAATCCCTAATAAATATGTACTGGACAAAGCATAGTACTCGTCTCGATCTCTATTTCACTAACAAAGTAAAGCGCCAATATGAAGGAGTAATATGAGGAGTAACATGACGCTGCAGAGCTTGTAGTATTGCGGCAGGCATGGTATTATGAACTAAGGAAAGTTTTGCGATTAAGTATTGACAGTTGACATTGTTGTTTCCAGGATGCTTTAGTCTACCAACTGACGGCTCTCGAGGTGCAGACAGGGCCACTGCAGCGTCAAGTGAACCAGTCACTCTCCCATCTCAAGACCATCCAGTTCTTCATCAACAGCCAAGGCGAAGCGATTGCTCAACGTGTATGTACATAATGTCATTACCTTTCCAATCACTTACATTTCTTTGGTCTTACACGAAAATATCTCTCACTTCTAATACAGAATGATGTTCAGTGAATGATGAATTGTCAATATGCTGTGTGACAGAGATAGAGTCGTATTACATACACAGCATATCATCAAGAACTGTACGAATTTCTTTTGTGTGTCCATTAATTGTGTTTCAGGTTATACTACTCATCTGGTCTAGCTTATTTTGTAGTCTTTGCTTTTACACGATTTGTTCTCCCTTCTAAAACCAACAATGCTTGTATTATGCCGTGTTATAGAGATAGAGACTTGCTTAAACACTCGTTACACGTAGAGAACTGTATTTTTTTTATCCGTCAATCCGCGTTTTAGGCAACACTACCATAGACAAATGATACTACTCACTTGTTGCGCATCTGGTCAGGCCTATTTTGTTTGTAAAAAGTTTGAATAATTGTTTTGTATACATCCAAATATTCAGCTCTGTAAAGGATAATTAGTTACGTATATATATAAAGATCATGTTCCTCAAGAGAATAAATTTTAAAAAGTTGTTGCTGGTAAATAATAAATTAGTAACTAAATTATACCTTTATACTGTACCAAAATTATATCTGATGGTGACATTATCGCTCCAAGGTGGGTGCAATACTCGTTGCTGATAACCTTCTCTTTGTTGTATCGCAGAAGAGTCGTCAGTACGTAGACCGGCTGCTGAACTACGTGGATCAGCTGAGACGTCACGTGACCGACTCTGTCAGCTCCAACGTAGCTACTTGTCGACCTCTGTGGGACATCTTCAATACCACTAGGCTGTTCCTCTGTCGACACACCATGGATCCCCTGGTGGGTGGAACACTAATACCACAAGTGTAATATTAAATATTAACTTGCAAATTCAATGTGTTAAAGCAACAAAAATCTGAAAATGTTTTGGGAAATGTATAAAAGTCGTCAATTATCAGTGTCCATTACTAGTTTACTGTTCGACAAGAATTCATTGGAATTGAATTGCGACCTTCAATTCGAAATCATAACAGTGGCGTAGTAATGTTTTGAAATTTAAAATTAATGTTTTGTATCACTAGTAGGTACTCCTGTTATAACATATTCCTCGACTCCATGATATCCATCATACCTACGTTATTTGTATTTGTTTTACACAAATGTATTAAACTTGTATATTTAACCCAGATTACCACACGGTCGAAATAGCTAAAAATCACAAAACTGCTTAATTTATTTCCACTAGTAAATTGAAAAGTCAAAGCATCTCTACCATTTGCTTAGAAAATTATGTTTCAGTACTATCTTACAGTATTATTTTTAGTGTGTAATCTCTGGATTATTTTTTATTCTCCTCTCAAAGGTAGAATGAAAAATCTACATTTCCTACAAGCTTAACACTGAATTCGTAGTGTACACAATTGAATCTTGTTTTCAAGTATTCGTGATGAAACTGTTCTTACCAAGTTTACCAGATAAATATGTACTTCCGTATGTTCTTACAGAACGGGTTCTGGTTCGCCTCCATGTGGTGCCTGATAGTTCTGTTGGTGGCGACGCCGGTGTGTCTTAAGCTAGTTGACTACTACAGGGCTCAGGGCTGCAGATCCTCTGGGTGGGTAGCCCATTTACATACAGACTAATGCTTGTGATTCTCGAAAATATGCGTTAGATTAATATTTGTTGGAATTAATTAAAGTATTTATAAATTAAACAAAAATGAATGTTATTCATTTATATTATTCACTAAATTTTATGTACACATTTAACACAATCCGGAGGAATTGGATGTATATTGTCAGGAAGTATATTGAGAAGTCACAAGTCAGAGAAACATGTAGCAATCCAATCCCAGTTGGCTATGACAGAAGACTTTTACAGACTTTGACAGGAAGACAGGTTCCTCTGGGATCGTCTTCTGGTTGATTTGTATCTTTGGTAGGCAAACTGTATTTAGAAATTTCGGAGCTCTAATAATCTTTAAGTACCTAGGGACTTTTATAACACCATGGCTCGGTGTAGTTTATTTCCATTTTAAAAGCAATATAAAGGCAATTCACATTTTATTTACAATTAATTTTGTCTTTAATTATTTAAGTTTCACTGGAATTTTAATTTATTATAATGGGAATTTGGAGCTATTTACACCACGTCAATTTATTTTACGTCGAGGGTAAAAATCATTCATCTATAATAACATTAATAGCATATGTTTACATAGACATTGTTATGTCAGTTTGAAAACAGATGATTGAATATTTTTGTTTAAATTCTAATTTACTAAAATAAATATAAGATTATTAAATATTTATTTCACTGTAAACCAAAGTTTGCTTAAGATTTCTGTTGTTCGGGGATTATGGTTTAATAGGAGAGAACCAAGTAAAATAATCAGTATTTGATAGGAACAATTTTCACTTATATCGAGTAATCTTCAGTATAAACTTCGCTCAATAGTAACAACTGATGTTTCTCCCTTTGTACTGTATTTTGTAATTTCCTAAATAGACTTTGGATTGTTATAAACACATGTTACGAGTCTTTTGTTTACTTTTTCCTTGTTATTTTGTTCAACGAATATGGTTACTCGTCAACCCATAAGGGTAGTGATAAACACTTTTTACTTCCAATTACTTTTTTTAGTAATTAGATTTTTGTTGGCAGTTTTAGCCGTTTATGAGATCTTTGTGCAAGCATACTTACAAGCTAACATTGCTCATATAAGAGTATAGTACCTGAGGACCGAGCTTTGCTCGGGAAAAATCTTCAGTTTACTCTGAGAGCAGTCTTAGTATTGCAGATACATTTCTCCATTTCCACACTCCACACTGCTTGCCTTTGATACTTCCTTCACCACTCCCTACATCGTGGACCTGTTTCCCTCCGTTCCCATAGCATTTAGGATTGCAGATACACTAATCGAATTGCCAAAGACAGTTCCCACATTCTGCACTGCTCGCCTTTACTACTTTCTTCACCGCTTCCTACGTTTTAGACCTGTTCCACTCCCTTCCTATAGCATTTTAGTATTTTAGATACATTAATCCAACTGCCACACACGCTTCCCCAACTCCGCACTGCAAGCCTTTACTACCATGTATCGAGTAATCTTCATTGTAATCTTTGCTCAATAGTTACAACTGATGTTTCCCCTTTGTACTGTATATTGTAATTTACTATTATACTGTGGATGGCTTAGTATACTACACATATTACGAGTCTACATTATCAGACTGTAAGATAACGTGTTATAAATTAAATAACCGTGTTATAACGTCAATTGTACATTATGTCGTTTACCTTGTCCAATGTTATTTAGTTCAACCAACATGGTTACTTAGCAACCCATAAGGCCAATGTTAAAAAACCGTTGACTTTCAGTTTCATTTTTCTACGTAATTATATTTTTGTTGGCAGTTCTTACTGCAGTAAACACGTTTTTAGGCCGGAAATATAACAATTTACAACATTAGAAGAAAATCGTCGAAGATGTTTTCGAGATCTTAGTGCAAGCATACAAGCTAACATTACTCATATTAGAGTATAGGATAATAATAGAATATAATAACAAACATTATTTTAAGCCAGTAATGTTAATAAAACTATTCTTGGTTGATGGATCAAAAGTTTATAACAAAGCTCAACATATTTTACTTGCATTACTCAATTCACCACATTTAGGACAGAAAATTATGAATAGAAAAGTATTAATTATTATTTTAAGGTGAGTTTATATATTAAGAACCCAAGAAACGTGTGTTTCAGGCTTTTAAATGCACTTTATCACCTTTGTTTTTTTTTTTCTTCAGAAGCCCGTCAGAAAACTTAGTGATCTCCGAGCAAGGTGCAGCCTGGTCCTCTCCTGGGTATGATATCAAATATTCCAAGGTTATCACCACTTCTTTATTACACTAGAATAAATATAGCCATTGTTAATTCTTTGTGGTACTTGTATATAGTTGGAGCCTTTTATTCCTTAATATAGTTACAAGGGGAAAAAGCAGCTCCGATGACTTTTACTGACAAAAAAATACTGGCATTCCTGAGTAACAAAGATAACAAAGAACGCTGTATACAATAAATAATAGTCTAAAATGTAGTAGAGCAATTTAGCATATTAGGTGAAAAGAAACAATTTTTTACAAAATATTATTTATAACATGAAGAGGATTTTTTTAGTAAATATTGTTCAAATCTCACAATTAATCTGAATCACTTAAGGAGAGAGGGTCATAACGTATTTTATTGTTTAAGTAGGAAATAAATTGAGATAAAAATTGCATTGTAGTATTGGCTATACCCCTCGACTAGTAACATAAATAAATAAAATAGATAGTAGAGTAGAGGTGTATAGTCAATGGTTGTAGTAACTCTAATCTGTTAGGACAATGCTGATTGAGACCTTTGAGGCCCTAGTGGGAAAATATATTTTACTATGTAAAATATGCTTGATGACAGATTAAAATATATAATCCACAAGTTGATGAATGCTTCCATTTCCAGGACCAATGCAACGGGAACGGCCACTGCAAGCAATGATAACTGGTGACATATCTAGCCTCCATCAATCATTAATCTTAGACACATTGTAATATCAAAGTAATAAACTAAATCCAATTTTTAAGTTTTATATATTTTTATTATGCCTTTTTAATTTAGACAACAAGGAATATTTAACAAGTGAAATTTATGAATGAATCTATAATGTAATTAATTTGTTTCTTAAATAATGAGTCGAAATGTTGCTTAGTGTTAACCGTTGTTGTTGTTTTATAATTTAGTAAATTTAATAATCGTACACGTTGTAGATATGTTTTGTTTTGAAATGTTAACTATTAAAAATATAAATTAACAATTATGTTTCAATTTCGAAAGCAAATAAACATTTATTGATTCTAAACTGACAATAAACACATCAAAGTATTAAAAAGGTAATTTAAAATCAAATTCGGATATTTAATTACTGTTATAAGAGTCAGAAACGATAACACTAAATCTAATAAATTCGTATCATAGTTTAGAACACATAGTACTATTTTTAATCGGTTAAAAAGCGTTGTGAGCTTACAACAAACACTTAGCATTTAGAATTTACAGAGCGCACGTCCCAAATTCCAATTAAGCCACATTAATATCCTCGATGTAACAAAAAGCTGCAATGGATACTATTTTTATATTACACGTTATACTAAATATGTTTTCTTAACTACTAACAGTCTCTAAATAATTGAAGAAATGATTTCATCAGATAATACGTTCTAAATGTCACATAGTTCAAACTAGAAACAATAGATCATGGAAAACAAAAATCACGAGCGCTAATAACAGACTATAGACCGACGAGCTGCAATGGTCAGACAAAAGATGAACGATGAGTGAGAACCAATTCCCTAGGGCGATATCGACTTCTTTGTGGGTTGAACTTACATCTGCTGAATCAGAAATTATATGATTTTCAGTGTTATAACGTTCTTAATCACATTGTTTTTAAATCATTGGCTGGGCGTTATAACGTCGTCATTTAATCGTTGTTTACTATTGGCTTATACTACTATAGCTAAAATCACTCTTTCCAATAAAATTAAATAGCTTTCGTTAAGTTATTCGGTAAGACTCAGGTAATGTACAAGTTCGTATTTTATGCTCATTATGTCACAAAGGCAGTGTACATGTTAACCTTTGAAAGCAACAAGCACGCAAGACAGGCTTTCCCAACGACTTGATGGCAATCCGCGTGTTGACTTAGAAGTACACTCGGCTATTTTTTATGTTGAGTAAATTAATAGTGCTCATGTTCACCTTTAATTCTTAGTAAAGCTGCAAGAGCAATCAACATTTATGATAAAAGAAAGTTAAAAGGTGAAAGAAAATAATTTTAAAGAACGTCTAAGTAAAAATATGTTAAAAAAGCTTTTTTAAATACCATCACTGCAGCATTATTTCTTTGCCTGTGATTAGAAGGGAAAAGTTATTTTTTCAGGAATGAGGGATCAGAGGTCTTTACTACGGTGTACCCAATATCATACTACAAATGTATCACGTATAAGCCGACGCAGCTTAAGCATTCGCATCTAGATTATATTTCCAGACCTTATCCAATTTCTAGATCTCATTGAATAGATTCGCGCAGAATCCTTTCTTAAAAGATTCCATTTTACTAAAATGAGTGGGCTAGTATGAAAATTTAAGAGCCCCTATTTTATCACAAAATAAATTTGAATGTAAGTGTTTATTGAAAGAACAAACCTCAATAATTAATTGTCCACATTGTTCGTTCTAATACCATTTATGAAGTATAATTAAAACTATCCATACAAATAATCTCAAATTAGAGCTTGCCATATGGTCGAAAACTCGAACAAAAGTATGTGTGTATTGTGCAAACTTCTCTATTTTAACCCCACGCCGTAAATAAAACATGTTATTGGAATTTCTTCCATTTGTTTTGATTTTATGTTTATTTGTGTTGTTATTTCGTCACCAACATGGCAGCCTATAAGGCCTATGTTAATTAAAAAAATTAAATTCATTTTTTGTGCTTAGGCGTATTTTTGAGCATATTTTAATCTATAAAGCGATTATGCACATCTGAAGGCAAATATATTTCTAACAGTATGCGTAGATTTTCTCTGCGATGCACAAGATCTGAGAAAAAATGTTTCCAACAAACATGCTTGCCTATTAATATAAAGAACCAGTGTACCTGTTGCTCGAATTCGAGCAATTGCCATGTAATACAGGTGTTATTTTAAAACTAATATCAGAAATAATTTCCGATAACTTTAAAAGAGTCGGCTCAAAGATTATGGAAATACTCACGATGTACATAACAGCTCGTTAAAATAAACATTTATTGTAAATAAATATCTTATCATTTTTTGAAATCTGATCTTGTTGTTTAGTATTTTCTACCAATGTTTCCCATTCATAGCCGCATTAGGTTGTCCATAATAACGATTATAAATTCTAAAAATAAACATTATTTCAATTTCTTCTTCTGGGTTGTGTTCAATGACTTTCCTATGTTTCCACAGTTTGGAAACCGGCTATTTAAATTATTTCTCAAGAAGTGGAGCATACTGTTAATTCAGTTAATTCTCTTAAAAAAAATACATTTAAACATTAAAAATTTATTTTCTTTTTAGTATATCAAATTGTCTAGAATTTCTCGGTTCTAATATTCTAAAATATTAACAGCAATTAAATTATAAAGCTGATCATAATGTAAACAAATATGTTCTTTATAAGGATGACTTAGTAATTTTAAAAGCCACTGGGGCAGAGCCCAAGGGACTTTGTCAAAAATGTAATGTTGCAATAATCCTTATATATAATACGTGAAGGCGATTACTACGAAACACTACTCCTCCGTTAATAATGGACGGATTTTTACAAACGACGTGTCAAAATTATATATAATACGTGAAGGCGATTACTACGAAACACTACTCCTCCGTTAATAATGGACGGATTTTTACAAATGACGTGTCAAAATAACGTATTTTTTGTGTAGACACCCCCTTTCACCAATTCCTGTAATACAAATCCTCGGGCTTTGCCCCACAGGCCATCGAAATTGGAGGTTCTCCCTTAAGATTAACATGGGGAAATCTAAATATTTCATTGGAAACGTTGTCCCCACCGATTTGAGAAACCGGCTGGGCGTAGAAACTTGGCAGAGGTGTCCAAAGAAAGGTCTTGGTCCGTAGATGAGTTATCAAAAGAAAAACTACGCAAAATCCCTTAGGACTCTGCCCCAGAAGCCTTTAAAGATCCCTCCACAGAGTTGTTTACATTCTGGCCATGTGAATAATTCTTTTCAATGAAACAGCTGTTCATTTTTAAATTGTATTTCAAACAACACACATTTTATTGGGAGTTACTAAATTCCACCAAATAAGTATTTTGCAATGTTATTTTCTGATTTCAAAATTGATTTTCTTCTTTATCATGTCATGTTTTGCAATATAACGTTCCATTACGAAATCAGTGGAAAATCCTTTTATCACAGCAATTCTTAAATTATTTCTCATTGAACTATCTTTTATGTATTGTACGGGTTGGTGTCTGCCTTTTTCATCACTTTTTCCTACATTTTATCATATTATTCCACACATATCAAATATTTATGTAGAAATATCTGCTCTTATCGCGTCTAATAAAATCAAAACATAGAAACCTTGCCTCATATGGTATCTTGACAAATTATTTGCACCTGCCTATATTACGGACTTTGGCACACTGGTTTGGTAAAATTATTGAAAATAACACGACATTTTGGCTGTAAAATATGGTACAAAGAGAAAATACTATTTAAGCAGCTACTGTCATGACAGAAAGGTCATATTCCTTTTAAACTTTGTTTTTGTCCTAGGAGGCTAGGCACGAACCTGGGATTGTTTTTCACATTACTTCAGGCTAGACCTAGGGGTTGCGGCATTATCACTTAGATAAAATCCATTGGTGACTTGGCGGGGATCGAACCTGGGGCCTCATTTCAAACTCCTTCCTTCCTTCCTTTTAAACTAGATCACATAATCCTTTATAAGATACGTTGATTAACAATATGTAAACGGCAATATATACGTAACAGCCAATTTACAGTATTTTTGCTTTTAGGAAATGTCCCAATGCTATGTCATTTGCATTATTTGTTGACAATGAAGCCGCAAGACCATATGAACTAGGAGGCCCCTAACAGTTCAAGAATAAAAGCCAACTTCACTTCAAGTATTCCACTACACCTAACATTCCGTAGAGAGATTATATTGACAACTTTATGTTATTGATGAGGCTGAGACAACTAACTGACATACCCCATGTCAAGGAATTCCAGCTTTAACAGTACGGTAACCCCACAACCAATTTCTCAAAACTATGCTAGAGGGTTATTCATTGGCACAGAAGTACGATATGAACTGACGCGACGTGACGAAGGAAAAATCAAACTTACACTGTAACGGATATACCTCCCATTGAAGAGAATGCCAACCGCATGGTAAAAAGCATTAAGCGGTTTGAGAGAGCTTTGCCTGTCAATCCGTAGGCAGCGCCACCAGCGTTGCCATGCAATAGCATAGCAACGCTGGTGGCGCTGCCTACGGATTGACAGGCAAAGCTCTCTCAAAACACTTAATGCTTTTTACCATGCGGTTGGCATTCTGGGTTATAGTAGTACGTTTTCTATGCTTTGAAGTTAGAATATGTCTTCCCAAAAAAATATTTTCTTTTCTAATAAAATCATATTACACTGATGAAATCACGGAAGTGTTTAATTTAACTACAAAACATCCACCAATACGATTTTAATACTATTTAAAGGTTCTTCCAAATGAAGAGATACCATATAACATACTAATAATAACTCCGATGACGTACAGTATGGGTAATATTGTAATCATTGAATGATCAACCAAATTTGGCAACTAACGAAATTAATATCATTATTGTTTTTACACTTATTACTCTTTAAATAATACTAAATTCTCAAAATATGTATATTTCACCTAATTTATTGCAGTTAGTTGAATTAACGTAACCCTTCAAAGTGACCGTCAATCTCGACGGGTTTCACCTAGTTTTAAGTATAATAAATGTAGCGTATAATATAGATAGATTAGCCCTATGTTTAATATTTATA